ACCCGACCGCGCCCGCGCCCGAGCAGCTCAGCGAGATCAAGCGGTTGGTCGCCCTCGGCCAACAGCGCCGGGACGCGCTCGGCCCAGCCGTCCCGACGGCGGAGCACCCCGTGATCCCGCAGGGGCAGTGCAGCTGCTGCGAGCGCGACTTCGGCGCGCGCAACCCCATGACCCGGAGGACCGATAAGAACCCGTGCCTCGAGGCAGGCGGGCGGAACAACTGATCCTTCTCGATTTTTCGATTCAGCCGACGGCCGGCCCGACGATTCCGATGGCGATCCTGTCGTTTCATGTCCCAAACAGTGCGCCCCCCCCCCCCCCCCCCCCCCGAAGGCCCCCCCCTACGGATCGACGCATCCAGCCGACGTGGTAAACATCTTTGAGGCCCACAACCCAGACTTCCTCTGACTCCGCGCTCCCGAGGAGGATTGATTGGAGGAGGAGGAGGAGGAGGAGGAGGGGGGGGGGGGAGGAGGAGGGGGAGAAGTCGGGAGAAGGAGGCGAAGGAGGGGGAGGAGGGGGGGGGGAGGAGGAGGAGGAGGAGAAGGAGGAGGAGGAGGAGGAGGAGGAGGAGGAGGAGGAGGAGGAGGAGGAGGAGGAGGGGATGAGGAGGATGGGAGGAGGAGGGCCCCCCCCCCCCCTCCCCCCTCCCCCGACGCAGGCGAGTCGCGCAGGCAGCCGGCAGTGCAAGGTGTGCAGGTGCGTCAACAATTGGACCTTCTCGGGAGTCAGCCCAGCGCAGCTCGAAGCCAAGATGCAGGTTGGTGAGTTCAAGTTGGCGTATAAGCTCATCGTGTTTGCGTGCGAGGACGAGGTTAACGCATGGGCTGGCAGGCGCGCGCCGCACTTGAAGCAGCTCGGAGACAGCGTCCTCGCCTCCATGACGTCCCGGGTCGAGGTCAAGAAGACGAAGAAGCTCACGGGCCAGAGGTTGTTGGGCATCTTTTGGCCCGAGGACACGTACAGGGAGTGGGAGAAAAAGGGCCCGCCGAAGGAGTCTTGGCTCTAGGCGTCATAGATGGGGCCGCGGCAGGTGGGGTCGGAGGATAACGCTGCATCGCTGCATCGCCGATGCATCGCCGATGCCGATGCGGCTCGACGGCTCGACGCTGTGCTTCGCGTGAAGTCGACGATGTATCGACGGCGCATGTCGCTGATGCATCGCTGCATCGCCGATGCCGCCGACGCATCGCCGATGCGCCGACGCGTCGCCGATGCGTCGGCGACGCGGCGCGACCCTCCGACCCCGTCTACTCCGACCCCATCTAGGAGGCCTCCACAGGAGCGCCTCACCTGGTACGCCCTCGACGACTCTGAGCCGGCGCAGCGCGGGTTGTTCCGCGAGGTGCGAGTGGGATGGTAAGCTGCCCTCCCAGTGCACCCGGGTCATGGTGGAGGCTTCCAAGGAAGTGGCCCAGGTCGACGAGATTGAGAACTCCATGGCCGCTGCCAGGGGGCATGCTCAGGTTGCGGAGACGTACCAGGCCATGGCTAGCAGGGCCAACGCGAGCACGCGAGTGTCGGATGGGCGCGTCGAGATCTCGCTTGCGAAGCCCGCGGGCGGCTGCGACGCCTTGGACGACTTGTGGGGCGAGCCCTTCGGGGCCAGCCGCGGCGCCAAGGGGCGGTCCAGCGGCGGCTCGGGCGGCGGCGGCGGCAGCAGGCCAGGCGGCTCAAGCGGCCGCGGAGGATGCGGAGGCGGCCGTGGCCGCGGGGGTGGCAGGGGCGCCGGGTCTGGCAGCGCAGTGACGAGGAACCTCCGCTTGTCGGAGGCCGAGGCCACGGTCCTGGCGTGCACCCAGACGCTGGACAGCCTGCTGAACCCCGCCATTGCGCTGGAAGTTGCCGCTGCGCGGATGAAGAAGGTGCTCGCCGAGATCGAGAAGCGGTTCGGGCCAGCCTACATGGAGGCGTGCTCTGCTGACTACGCCGCCGACGGTGATGGCGCCCTGGCTCTCCCCATCGTCCTCTCCCTCGCCACTCCGCCCCTCTTCCGCTCTTCCCTCCACCTCCTGCCTCTCTTCCTCGCCTCAAGCGTTTCCCTTCTCCTCCTCCGCCTCCTCTTCTTCCCTTCCGCGCATCCCCCCCCTCGAGCCTCTCCCCCCCCTCCTCCTCCTCCTCCTCCTCCTCCTCCTCCTCCTCCTCTTCCTCCTCCTCCTCCGCCTCCTCTTATTCCGACTCCTCCCCCTCCTCCTCCTGGTCCGTCTTCCTCCCCCGAGAGCGACCCCCAGTTGACGCCGTGCGATCGTGGCGACCCTGGCCCCGGGGCCGCTGCCACCCCTTGGTTCCATCCCTTCTTTCATCCTCCTATCCCCCCCCTGCCTTCCCGCAGGCGCTGGCGCCGCGCCGGGGGATGGCGGCGCTCGCGACGGCGGCCTCGACCGCGGCATGGCGATGCTGGCCAACTTGCGCACGTTCAAGGCCATGGGCCATCGCCCAGCCCTGGCGGCGCAACGCGCCCCCAGCCCATCCCCCCATCCCGTCCCTGGGCCCTCCAGCCCCCGCCACTCCCCTCCAGTTTGGGCGCCCGAGATGGGCGCGGAAAGAATGGGCGCGATGCCCAGCAGCAGTTCTCTTGTTCATTCTGAACAGGATTCGCTGTCCACTCCGCCGCGGCCTGCGTCCATTCGAGACAGGAGGCCGCCTGCCCAGCGGCGGCCGCTGTTGGTTTGGGACAACGTGTGTTGTTGGGCATTGACCCATTCTTTCGGTGCCCATTTTCATTTCGGGTGTCCAAATCCAGCCCAGGGCCCGGCGGGGGGGGCGGAGGCGAGAAGAGTGGAGAAAAGGGTGTGGATTTGTTTGGTTGGCTCGTTGGGGAGGCCCTCGTCGCCGCGGCGCGAGTCGCCGCCCTCGAACCCTGGTCAGAACGCTCGGTGGGAGGTCAGGTGCTGCCAACTGTCAGCGTTGCTGCGTTGCTGATTGTGCCCAGGGCCACATCGCCAAGTGGTACGACTGGCGCGGGGCCCTGGACGCGCCGATCGCAGATGGCTCAGATGGCGGTGACCTCGTCATGAAGACCGACTTGCTGGCGTCGACCGTTGGTGGGGGAAGCCAGCCGAACCAGCCATGCGTGCCCAAGCCTGTGTACTTGGCGGTGTGGAAGAAACTTATGGCGCCGTGCGTGGCCAAGGAGGATTGGCCGCGTTGGATTAAGGTCCTGAAGTGCGATCCCGAGGTATGGGGCTCTCTCCCGACCGATTGCATCGTTTCTCCTGGCCAGCGGGGTCAGCCCGGCGAGGCTGCTCGGGTAGTAGGAAAATAGGTAGGGGGTGGCGCGGGGCAAGGAAGAAGATATCTGCTTTTTGTTGTTATGTTTTTTTGTTTTGTTTTGTCTTGTATTTGTTGCTCTTGTTTTTTTTGTTTTTCTGTTGTTTTTGTGTGTTCTTGTTTTGTGTTGTGTTGTTGATTGTTTTTGTGTTTGTGTTGTTTCATTCTGTTTTCTTTGTTGTGGTTTTGTTTGTGTGTGTTTTCTCTTTATGTGTGTTATATGTTCTGTGCTGTTGTTTTGTTTTTTGTTTTTGTTTGTGTTTTTGTTTTGTTTTGTTTTTTTTTTGTGTTGTCCGGGCCAGCGGAGTGGAGGAGTGGACGGACGAGGAGGAGGGGGGGGGCGGGGTGGTGGAGGAGGAAATGAGGAGGAGGGGGAGGTGGGCAACGTGGGGGAGGGGCTTGGGTGCAATCTATTCTCATGGCCGCCAGCGCGCGCCTGGCGGGGTCGGGCCCACTGCAGTGACTGCCCCCCGCGCCTGCGCTGCTCCTCCTACCGCTACTGCGCTACTGCCCATTCTCCTTCTTCCGCGCTTCCCCCCCTCCCCCTGCCTCTATCTATCAATCCTGCCCCCCCCCTCCTCCCTGGCAATGTCCTGCTGGCTAGGTTGCCAGGTGCGACGTCGGGCCTGGAAGTCGACGAGGGGCGCTCGAACCTCTTCCTCCTCCTCCTCCTCCTCCTCGTCCGCCCCCCCCCCCACCTCCCCTCTTCTCCTCTCCTTTCGATGTTTTAGCCCCCCCACCGAAAAACCGAGGGGGGGCGGGGGGGGGGGGGGGGTTGGGGATGGGATGAGGTAGGGGGGGGGGGGGGGGAAGGACTGGAGGAGGGGAATCCAGGGGGAGGAGGAGGAGGCGGAGGAGGAGAGGAGGAGGAGGAGGAGGAGGAGGAGGAGGAGGAGGAGGGGAGGAGGAGGAGGAGAGGAGAAGGAGGAGGAGGGGGGGGAGAGTGGGGGGGAGGAGGAGGAGAAGGAGGAGGAGGAGGGAGGAGGAGGAGGAGGAGGAGGGGGAGGAGGAGGAGGAGGAGGAGGAGCATCAGGAGCAGGAGGAGGAGAACGATGATGAGGAGGAGGACGAGGAGGAGGAGGATTCCAGGATAAGGAGGAGGGGGCAGGAAGGGGCACGCAAGACTTTTGTTTTTCGCCATAATCCAGAGGTTGAGACCGCCATCATGCAGACGCTGATCGAGCTGTTCACTGCTCAGCAGAAGTTGCCCGTGCTCATCAGCGTCCTCGGCCTCCTGCGGACTGCCGTGGAAAGCGGCCAGCTTCTGCAGGGCTCTCACGAGGCAGAGTTCAAGACTGAGCTCGAGAAGCTGTTCAAGCTCGCCTTCATAGCGGAGGCTGACGAGGCCGAGCTGGAGGACTTGATCGTGATGAAGACGCGCATGTTGGACCCCAACTCTGGCGCGGCTTCGCCGTTTCTGAAGGCCCCACCTGCCCCTGGCCCCTCGCTAATGTCGTCGGTCCGTCCTCGGCGTCGGAGGATTTGAGTCAGGGGCCCCGGGCCGCGTGCTGAGCTGCCTCTGCGCGGATTGGCCGCGCGGTAACCCCCGCGAGAAGTCGGTAATATCATAGTCCGATGGTCCAATGTTGAGACCGACCGATGAGAGGATCGACGAGGAACCCAAGGGGCCTCAGGGGGCCGGGGACCTCGCCGCCCTCCGAAATCGGCTTTGAACCCGGGACATTGTGTTTTTGTTCTGGTTCCGCGCCCCCCCCCCTTTCCGCTGCCAGGCTCTCCGGTTCCTGCCCGCCGGGATGGATCTCGACCAGATGGTCGACGACGAGAGGAAGAACATCAATTCGGTCAAGTCTCTCGTGGTAGATTTGAAGGAGACCGTCGCGCTCGTCACTTGGAGCCGCCCCCCGGAGCCGCAGCGCAGCTGCCAGACCGACACGTCCGACCACGTCTGCAATTTCAGGCAGGATGTCCTGGACAAAATGGGCGCTGTGAAAGGCAAGTTCGAGGCCCTGATGTCCAAGGCGCCCCAGCGCCTGCTCATCATGCACAAGGATGAGATTAACTTTGTCAGAGGTGCGCTCTCGGAGGCCACGGCGCTCGTCATCGAGAAATCCCACAAGCGCTACTCCAACATGCTCGACATGATAATGTTCCTGTGCGCGCGGAGAAGCCTCGATGACGCCTTGCAAGTGGCGCAGCGTCTGGAGACGGTGGTGAAAGAGCCTTTCGAGCTTGCTTTCAAGACCTTCATGGACGCGGACTCCATTGTACTGATGGAGACCTTTCGGAAGGAGCTGCACTCCGTGGTGCCATCGCTCATCTCGGGCATCCGCGCAATGATCAAGGACTCGCACTGTTTCGTGGAGTGCACGGAGGTGAGGGCCTTCTTCGATGCGACGCTCACGACCAGCGACCCCCCGTTCAAGAGTGAGGAGGGGGCCCTGTCACTGGAAGTGCCCAGTTGGAAGACAGGGCTCGCGTCGCTGCTACAGGTCCTGCAAGTTCGTTGCCTCCGCTTCCTGGAGATGCTCCCGTCTGAGATTCGCTGGTGTGCTGCGCGGCTCGCGCGCTCCATGGATGCCGAGTCGTGTCGCAATGAGCTCACGGTGCTCCGGAACACCTCGCTGGCTGTCTACGTGGACGAGGGTCTTGAGAACATGGTTGATGGCGTCAACAGCGTGTTGCATTACAGGCCATGCTTCCAGACGGCATCGTGGTGGATTTCTGAACAGAGTCGCGCACCCGAGCCCAGCATGGGCCATACTACCTCCCACGGAGAGCGCGGCAATGATGCCGCCCCTGGCAGTGGCACCGCGACCCCGCCATGCACGCTGCCGCATCCAGGCGCCGACGAGATCGAGATCCTCAACGTGTCCCTGTCCGGAGGATCCAGCGCCAGCGGGGGCCGCGGCGAGCTGATGCACCAGGGGGCGCCGGCGGCCCAGGCAGAGGCCAGCGCCAGCGGAGGCCGCGGCGACGTGGTGGAGCCAGCCCCGACATCCCCAGCGGATGCGGCCGCAGTCTCAGTGACGCTGGGGGCCCCGGCTGCGGCGGGCAACCTCTCTCTTGCCAGCGTGGAGGCTGCCGCGGAGGCCCCGGTGGCCGCGGAGACGACGGCGCCGGGCGGCGCTCCGCCGCCGCTGCCGCAGACGGCGCCTCAGCCGGAGGCCGCGCCGCCGCCGCCGAAGAAGCTCAGAAAGTTCTGAAGCTTGCGAACTCGGCGCCCGTTCCTGGAGGGAAGAGCCGCTTGGTGGCGGCTTTGGGGGTCAGAGTCGCGGCAGGCGCAACGACAGCGGGCCCGGGCGCCGAGGCGGTCAGAGCAGCCAGCGGTTGCGACGCAGCTGCAGCGGAGGCAGAGGCCGCCACGGCGGGGGAGGCAACGGGCGCCGCGGCCGCGGCGACCGCGCCGGCGGCGCGCGCCTCCGAGGCGCTTAGCAGCGGCGCAGGCGCCACAGCGGAGGAGGGGGCGGAGGCAACGGCCGCCGTGGCCGCGGCGTCCACGCGGGCTGCATCAGCCGAGGCGCTCAGCAGCGGCGCAGGCAGCGCGGCTGCATCAGCCGAGGCGCTCAGCAGGGGCGCAGGCAGTGCGGCGGTGGAGGCTCGGGCTGAACGAAAATGGGGTGATATGGAAAGGGGGGGGGTGCGAAATCTGCTGCGCGCAGCTGGTTTCGGCCCCGCCGCCGGGCCCATTCCTCGATGCAGCGATGCACGGGCGCCTCCTGGCGCCGAGAGGCGCCGGGAAAACCAGCTACGTGAGCTGACTTTCATCCCCCCCTTTGCTATCCCCCCCTTTCACCCGGCCCGAGAGGCAGCGGGCCTCAAGCCCCCGCCGCGACTCAAGCCCCCGCCGCGACTGAGATACTCGCGGTGGGGCGATGAGGCCGCGCCATATTGAGAGCCGACGGCAGTGGCCAGGCCGTGGCCGCGCCATTGGGGATATTGACTGGGGGACCCGGGTTCGGGGGTTGAGGGGAGGGTACGGTTCTGACTGGCCCCCCCTTAGCCAGCCGAACCTCTCCTTTCTTACAGCCAATCGAGGGGGGCAGGGCTATCCGCGCCGCTCGGCATATGCCTGCTTCCCCAGTCCCATGGGCGCACAGTTCCCCGCCCCGCCCCACGCAGCATGGCTGCAGCAGGGCGAGGGGAAGGATGATGAGGGCGATGAGGGATGAGAGGAGGCGGAGGAGTAAGAGGAGGAGGATGAGGAGGAGGATGAGGACGACGGCAACCCCCCCCCCCCTGCCCAGTCCGAGGACGCGGCGGCGGCGACCGCGGCAGCCGGGGCGAGCACCCCCGAGGAGGCCGAGGAGCGAAGCGAGGATCTCCTCCTCCTCCTCCCCATCCCGCGTCTCCTCCTCCTCGCCCCTCTTCTTCCGAGGATCTCACTCTCATCTCGGGGAAGCGTGAGACTCGAGTAATACTGTAGTAATGCCCACTCGGTGCACATTCTTGTTCCCTCCTGGCATATTTCTTCTTTCTCCTGATCCGTCGTCGCCCTGATAACATGCGCGCCTCAAGCCCCCGCCGCGACTGAGATACTCGCGGTGGGGCGATGAGGCCGCGCCATATTGAGAGCCGACGGCAGTGGCCAGGTCGTGGCCGCGCCATTGGGGATATTGACTGGGGGACCCGGGTTCGGGGGTTGAGGGGAGGGTACGGTTCTGACTGGCCCCCCCCTTAGCCAGCCGAACCTCTCCTTTCTTACAGCCAATCGAGGGGGGCAGGCTATCCGCACAGCTCGGCATATGCCTGCCCCCCCAGCCCCATGGGCGCACAGTTCCCGCCCCGCCCCACGCAGCATGGCTGCAGCAGGACGAGGAGGACGATGATGAGGACGATGAGGGATGAGAGGAGGCAGAGGAGTAAGAGGAGGAGGATGAGGAGGAGGATGAGGACGACGGCAACCCCCCCCCTGCCCAGTCCGAGGACGCGGCGGCGGCGACCGCGGCAGCCGGGGCGAGCACCCCCGAGAAGGCCGAGGAGCGAAGCGAGGATCTCACTCTCATCTCGGGGAAGCGTGAGACTCGAGTAAGCTGGAACTCGGGTTTGCCGATTTTTGTTCGACGATTGCGCCCTGGATTTTGACGGTCCAGTTCCCGCAGGATGTTTGCAACGGGGGCCCGGGGGCCCGCGTCAAATTTCAGGTTGGGCCTCGCGCCCCCGTCAGGCCAACCCGAGCCCCCCTTGCCCGAGTCTTACGTTTCCCCGGTCATCGAAGGCATGTCCCAGGATCGGCGGGCGAAAGGGAGGGATTGGGAAAGGGGAAAAGGGGTTGCGAAATTTGCTGCATGCAACTGGTTTCGGCCTCGCCGAGGGGCCCATTCCTCGATGCATGGCCGCCTCCGGCGCCGTGAGGTGCCGGGAAAATCAGTTCCGTGGGCAGATTGCTATCCCCCCCTTTTGCCGCTGCCCGACCCGAGTCCCGAAAGGATGGGGAGGCGGCAGCGGCGGAGGAGGTTGAGGAACTCAGCGCTCAGTTGTTCGGGCTCGGCGACGCCGACGACGACCGCGGCGACGCGGTGGAGGAGGAGCTCGACCGCGTCAATGCTGTGATTGGCAATGGCAGCCGCGTTGGTGGACAGGTGGGCCCCGGCTACACGGCGGATGCCATGATGATGTCTGTGCACGCGCTTGCCTTCGCGAAAGTCTTGCGCGTCGCCCACGTTGCTGTTGAGGCGATCCCTGACACGTCCGCCGGCGCATGCAAGATCGTCGGTGCATCGGCGACCCCCGAGGAGCTGGTTGAGAGCAGGGACTCTTTCGTTGCCATCGCGTCGCGGGCAATCACCTTGATGTCCGACTTGCAGTCCGGCCAGTTGTCAGTTCTCTCCCAGTTCGTGGACGAGTGGGCGAAGACGGTGACCAATGGCGCAATTGGTTGTGGCCAGGCCTCTTGGGGTCCAAGGGGGCTGGAGTTCCGGGCGTTCCAGGGGCATGGGCCGGGCTCAGGGCGCAAGGGGCCCAAGAAACCGACATGGGGGAAGGCCGCCCAGATTGAGAAAATCAGGGGCTGCCGAAGCCGCGCCACTGGCCCAGGAGGGAGGGGGAGGGGGAGGGGGGGGGGATGGGAGGAGGAGGGGAGAAGGAATTAGGAGGAGGAGATGAGGATGAGGAGGATGATGAGGCGGAAGGAGGATGAGGAGAAGGACGAGGAGGAGGAGGAGGGGGAGAAGGAGGAGAAGGAGGAGGACGACGAGGAGGAGGAGGAGGAGGAGGAGGAGGCTGGCCTGTCCCAGAGCCACAGATCGCAGGAGGACGGGGGTGAGGGGGAGGAGGAGGAGGAGGGGGAGGAGGAGGAAGGAGGGGGGAGGAGAAGAGAAGCGAGGAAAAGGAGGGGGGGGGATTTTGTTTGTTGCCACACATCCCAGGTGCAGAGCTTGGACTACGCCTGCAACGCGGCGGTCGACGGCTCGAAGGCGATGCTGCTGGGGCGCATGCAGGACCTTTTCAAGACCGTGAAGTTGCACTTCAAAGCCCTCTCCGATAAGATCGTGGTGCAGGGGTTCAACATCTCGCTGGTCGATTACCTGGAGTCCCTCAGTTCTCAGGGGAGCTCGCTGCCAACTGGCGGGCACCGTGCGGCGCTGGCAGCGGCGATCCAGGTGCCCACTGCGAAGACGATGTACCACGACTTCCGCTGGTTCGTCGACAAGTGCGCGCCGCTGTTCCAGATGGCCAACGACGCCCTCGAGGCTGGAATGGCGTGGGACTCCGACCCGACGTTCGTGGGTGCCGGCATGCTCTCGGGATCGATGACGTGCATGCAGTCGCTGCTCGGCTCGCAGGATGCCGAGTCCATGGCCAAGACGCTGCGAAGCCTTCAGTCCGTCCTGCCGGCGAAGCACATGGCCCCCCACTCGTGCGTGACGGCCAGCATCAACGCGGTCCTGGCCCAGGACTGCCTCGCAAAGTCGGCTGAGAGGCCGGCGGGTGGCCCCGAGCCGAAGCGGCGCAAGGGCGGTGGCAAGCAGCAGGCAGCCGCCGCCGCGGCGCCGGCCTAGGACTCCTTAGCTTAGCCTGAGCCTAGGACGACCACGACGACGACGACGACCACGACGACGACCACGACGACGACTGACGAACCAACAACACACGCACCCATGCCCATAGGTGGATCGGAGAGGGCCATGGGCGCGTGTTGTCGGATGAGGGGCCCCGCTCGAACGGGGGCGTTCCCCAGGGTCCGACAATCCGCACCCATGCCCATAACCAGTCCTCCTCCCTACGACCTCCCTATGGGTTGGGCGTGTGTGTGTTGTTCGTTCGTCAACGACTGCGACGACCACGACGACCGCGACGACGACGACGACGACGACGACGAACGGCGACCTCTGTTGCCTCTGCTGCGGCAGCACCTGCCGCTCCGCGGCTTTATTCGCGCCCTCGCACCGCTGCCCGCCGGAAGGGGCGGCCCTCGGTCACTGGGCGCGCGGGCCGCCCTAGGCCTAGTGCCACTGGGCCGTGGCCCTGGCACAATTTGGAACCCATGGAAGCTAGGAGACGGCCTAGACCGCGCCGTCACCCTCACCCTGGCTCGAGGCTGGGCTGTGGCAACGCAGCAGCTCGCGCGATTCGGATCGGCTTTTTTTTTTTTTTTTTTTTGGGGGGGGTAACTTTTCTCACCTGCCTGTCAGTGGTCAGCTTTAGCTGATAATGTATATCACCGTAGTTCAGTTTAGTAATAGATAGGAGGACCGAGGAGGTTCCGCGACTGCTGTCTGCTCTGCACGTGCGTGCACATGTGGGCTGGTGCCATGGCCACGGTGCAGGACAGACGACGAGCGAAGAGAGTCTGGAGAGCGAATAAGATCGGCTGCCCCTGCCTGGGGCCCCCCTCCACGAGGGGGGAGGAGTCGAGGAGAAGCCCGAATGTTCGAGTGGATGATGTCCTCCCTCAGGCCTCCCCCCTCGCCTCCTCCTCCTCTTCGGGGTGGTCCTCTGTCGGGACCTCCGTGGTTCCTCCTCCTCACCCTCTCCCTTCTCCTTTTTCATGCCCCTCCCCCTCCTCCTTCTCCTCCTTCTCCTCCTCCTTCTTCCTTTTTATTATTCGACGATCCCTCCTCCGTCATTGCCCCAGTGCGACCCTGCCCAGGAGTTGGAGCATTTAGGAAAGCAACATCTACATCTACACCGACAGCTACATTTACATCTACACCTGCATGCGAGACTCACATCTGCCTCTGCATCTACACCTACAGCTACACCTACATCGACACCCACATCCACATCTACACCTACACCTACAAGCATCTATGCTAGGCTGTGCTATGTTAGGCTGCGCTATGCTATGCTATGTTGTGCTGTGCTATGCTATGCTGCGCTGTGCTATACTAAGCATTGCTGTTCTATGATATGATATCCTATGATATGCTGCGCTATGCTATGTCATGATCTATGCTATGCTCTGCTATGCTGTGCTATGATATATTACGCTATGCTGTGCTAATGCTGCGCTGCGCTATGCTGCGCTCAGCTTAGCTAAACTAAGCTAGGTTACGCTAAGCTACGCTGAGCTAGGCTTGGCTAAGCTGAGCTAAACTAAGCTAAGATGAGTTAAAGGAAGCTAAGCTTAGCTTAGCTTAGCTAAGCTAAGCTGGG